TAGCATTTCTAAGGTTTCCATTTTTTCCTGCTTTATATTCATTAACATCCTGCTTTATGAAGATCTAATTCTGCTTAAAAATAGTTGTAAAGGGCTGGTTCAATTAACTTCCTTGCAAAAAATTATTCTGTAAAAACAATCACCAGAAGAGACCTGTGAGCTTCAGCATCCCTGTGTTCATTTCAGAATAATTAGATTTCTGATGTTATCTTTCATATTTTAACAAACTTTTCATACAAGAGTTGCTCATAAGTGTTATGGATGACATATAGATATTCTCTATTTCTTAAATGCCAAAATTCTGTTTCTTCAAACTTCATTTGTGCTAAAAATAAAGTTACTTCAAAATTCCAGAAGGTGAGCCCAGTGTATTAGAACTAGATGTCAGTAAGAATAGTTGGCTAATTTTTTACCAGTGGTGAATAGCTGCTTTTTCCCTTCTTCTGTTTAAACAACACAAAAAAAGAAAACCAAATTATCTGTCACTTTTCTTGTTCTCCATTTTAGGATATAGCATAAAATCTGGCAGAGTTTTCAGTCCCAATGGTGTTAGGGACTCCAAGAAAGTATACTACCAATACAAAGGAAGCTCCCTGGAACTTCACACTCATTTCTTGCCCTTTACTTTTTCAAAGTTTTCTTCAACTTCCTATCCAGCTAAGAAGAAAGTGTTTTGTCTTTTTGGAATTGTATTTGTATTTTTTTATATTATTAGAATTAACATGGGAGAGTCATTATTATGGTCATTATTGCCTCAAGAAACTTGTCTGCATGTACAAGAGTGGGCTATGTTGCAAGGCTTTTTCAAGAGGCGTTACTAATTTTGAAGTTATTGCTGGGAGTTAAACAATGCCCTAAAAATATCTGACATTACCACTAATGATGGAGAATTCTAACTGGTTTTAAAACTTGCATCACTATCAGTTTACAATTTTTAAATTCTTGACATCTTACAAGGCCTACTTAGCAATGAAATAAATGTGGAGAGACATCTTTCTGCTTAAATACTTAAAGTTGAAAACATTGAGAAATGTTCTATGCTTGGAAATTATTGAAGGCAAATCCTTGTAATAGTGTTGGGGTATGAAGCTCTCAAGATTATTAAAAAAAAAAATAAATCTGGATTTCAGCTCTACCATTGCAACTGTGAATATGAAATTCAGTAAAAATCTTAAACATGATCTTTGTTTAGAGAGTAATTCCTTATTTTTTTTTTACAATATGCTTTCATGATAACTTAAGTGGCCTTTATTTTTCATGTATTGAAACAGAGTAGGAATCTGTTCAGAAAAATGTTAAAAATAATATAAATTAAAAGCCAGTTTTGATCAGTTATAAAAATATATGTTCAATATTGTACTTCCACTCTCTTTCAGTACCTCTTAAATATTTCTTGCATCAGATACTTTCTTTTCTTTCATAAATTTTAGAAAGTTTGAAAAACTGATTTTTAGTTTTCTTTGTTTGAAAGCTTTGTGATATTAAAGAAGGAGAAATAAAAATGTTAAGTAGGCAGTGATAGGTCTTATGCAATATCACTGGATTTTTTGCTTAATAGTTTCCAGTCAGTCTGAAATCTTTATATGTAAGCTACATTTGAGACTGTCAGTTGCAATGTATTTTCCTACCTATCCTGTGAAAAAGTGAGACAGGGAGAAGTTTTCTTTTTTATAATATTTTATGCCTATTTATAAAGATGATAAAATAGATATTAAACAGATTGAACAGCTACTCTGAGAACTGAAAACAAAATTGGGAAATTATGGATAAAATCATGACCAAGTCTGAAGAGACTAGGATCTCAGATTGCAAAGGGTACAGAACCTTTATCTTCCTCAAATATTACAAAATATAAATGAGATGTTCAGGTGAAAATAAAATTATTAAAAATGTGAATGTCAGGTTGTTAAAACTTACTCATTCCTAAGTTCTGCAAGTGTTTGAATGAAGAGTCACCGAACACTTCTAAAATTTTTAGCTCGTCCTGGGAGATTTTTAGAGTAATTTTATTCATGTGAAAATATTTCCCTTTTTTTCCCCCTCCTATCAAGTAGTTACTATGTAAACAATATATTGTAAAAAAATCATTAGTCTTGAGGCTTTTTAAAAATTACTGCAACTGTGCAAGCCTACATTGTAGTGTGGTAATTCATATTCTGTCCTGGATATTCCAGGATCTCAGAAAGCTATATTGGGTTGCTTTCTTTGTTAACAAAATTAGTAGTACTTAGAAGCAGTTTTTTTCCTCTCCTTGATTTTTCTGCAAGTGTAAAGTAGAACTTGTATATATGCAGTTATCTAAAGATTTAATTGCTGTGTTTCAGTGACCTGCAATGCTTAAAGACTGCACTTCTCCTTTAAAAACTTAGGTCTACCACTTTTATAACATTTGTCTTATATTACTGTGCATGAGAACCGTAGAATTTTGTGCCAAAGACAAAATTTTAATGGTTGTCCTTCTTAAGGGTTTTTATGAAACTGCTTTCAAAATAGGTTATGGACTTGGTACATCAGGCATTGTTTGGGAGCTCTGGGATATTTGTTTTACACCTAGAGCCTGCGAAAAGATGAGCATCTCCTTTGTTCATGCTTATGAAATGGGAAGAAAACTTATCCTAAAATCATGGCTCCAAAAGGTAAAAGGCTACGTCAGTTACTTCTCTGTATGCCATTTGTGTTTCTGAAGCACGTAGTAGAGTGTCAGTTGAAATACAGAAGGAGTTAGAAATCACCTAGGAATTTATAAATGACTCTAGAAAGTAGCCTTTGCTGTGTAAGTGGGGTTCAGGTAGCTGTCACACAGGGGTAACTCTATTTGCCTGGATATTCAGCAAAATTAATATCATCTGAGCATTAGCCATAATAGGGTACAGGTAGCTTGCCAGGAATTCTGAATTTGTACTATCCCAATCAGTGATGACATAGGAAGCATACCAGTGAATGAGCACACCTCATCAGCATGTTAAATTCATCTTCATTCATTGTTCTTTCCAAATTTTCAGTTGTATATTGGACAGGAAAAGAGATTAGGTATTTGAAGGCCTCTGTTACACTGAGGAAGATTTTACTTGTTTTTGCTGCTTGTCTCAGAAAGATGAAACTGTGCTGTATACTGCATACAATTACTGGTTACATGGGTTGGAGACAGATGACGTACCTTGCTACATAGTGTGGTGCTTATCAGGTGGCTTTGTCACCTGTAACTCTTGGAAAGTGACTGTAATATGGAACTTCACCCTGTGTAGAACATGAGGTGTGGGAAGCATCAAGGCTTTGGTCAGAGCAAATTGAATGCCAACACAAATGCATCAGGTGACATGTCAGTGATATCATTACTATTCTCTGAACGAAGTATGTTATGTTGGTTTTCACTGCTTGGGATTAATTTCTTGGTTCTCCTTCACTTGGTTAGTTGGGGTTTTTTTGTTTGTTTATTTTGTTATTTGGCTCAGATTTATGTAGTGTTTGGACTCATGGGTGTCCTGTGGGTTCTCTGCTTTATTTGGAAAGATTACATTTTAAAATCTAAAACAAAAGCTATCAACACGTTTTGTTTTAAATGTTTCATATTTATAGTCCCCTAAAATGCTGTTTTCTTTATCTTCCCAGTCACATGGGAGCTTGGAGGGAACACACATACATCTCTAATGCCAGCATTGCAGATTAAAAATAGTTCTTCTCCACAAAATGCTAACAGCTGGTTGGCTCTCTTTCCTTGCTGAAGATGCATCATATAGTATTTTCATTTTCCTGCTGTTGCCAAAATGTTAATAGATCAGGCTCTGCAAGTTTTACTTTGTAAATTCTGTTGTAATACTAATTACACTTTAACTACGTTTCTGTGAGGCTTTTCACGAATCCAGTCAAGCACCTATTACCCCATCTTGCAGATAAATAAACAGAAAGTGGTTAAGAGAGGTGCTTTGTGCTGATTTAAAACAAAAATCAGATAATCAACTTCTGTAAACCAAGTGTTATTTAGGTAGCATGGAGATGTAATGGCACTCCTGAGAACAGGTCTTCTAAATTGTGGTCCCCTGGGATGAACCCCTAACCTGTATACCTTTCTTTTACTTGAAGTACTCCAGTGCAAATACTGTGGAGAGTCTCTTGTCATAGTGACATTATAGCAACTGGCTATTGAAATCACTGTCATCTTCTCTTTTCACCAGTGGTAGGAAAATGCCTAAAAGATTCTATTTCAAGAATGAAGATGTTAACAGCAATATTTTTCAAAAGATCAAATTTTTTTAAATGCTGTGAGTGGACAATATTATATACAATGACAAGTTGTTTCTGAACCACATAGAGTATCACATAACAGCTTTTCTGTTTTTCCCCATCTTGAAATACTCAGCAAAACTCTTACCATATTAGAAGAAGTGAATCTGTTACTTTTATTTTATTTTGAAAATTCTTTTGTAAAGTCTGGCACTTAAAGTGATATTGCCTTCATATACATGATCCATAATGTTTACATTTTGGCATAAAAGATGAAGAAGCTACAACAAAATGTGGAGAGACATGAGAGTTAATAAAATAACAGATGGCAGCTGTGCTCCAATGGAAATAATTATATGCTGCCTTTTTAATAGCATAAAATCTTTGTGTTGTTTTTGATTAATACAGTAGGCTTACTGGTCATATGGAGATTAGTGTGTGATATAAACCTGAAAATTAGTTTGTTGTCACATATTATGTGATATGATAGGGATTAATTTCAGGAATGCCTTAAAATATGTTGTAAACAAAATCCTTTCTGCACTGATTGTACTAGATAGATTAATCCTGTTGCCATATGGATTTGAAATTGCCTTGGGTATGCAAAAGAAAAATCTAGATAAATGATAACTCATTTAATACTCTGTGGTTTATGTTTATGGAAAACAGAATTCCTCAGGATCTTCTAAAGGAAAACAAGAGTGTGCCAAAGGTAATTTCTGTGTTGAGTGTTCACGGATGGTAAAATTATATTTAACAGATGTTTGTAATTTTTGCAGGTAATAGCTCTAGCAGATGCAGCAGAAGAAAATCAAGCCAACATGTTCCAAGCATTTGCAAAGTTGAAAAGTGCCACCCATCTGGTGATTATGCTGATTAGTTTGTGGCAGAAGCTCAGCACTGATCAAGTTGCTATTTTGGAAGCTACGTTTTTGCCATTAGCAGAAGATACACAAGAGCTGGTAAGAGGTTCTTGAAAAATATTCAAAGAGCTTTAAGCCCTTAAATTCCCATATTTCTTCCTGTACTTTGCTGAAGACTGTCCTTTGAAGTAATTTAAGTAGCCTTGTTAAGTAGGTGTTTGATGCAAACTACACTGATTTCACAGGAAAGTGGAAAAGGAGGAGTTGATTACAGAATGTTTCAATAGAGGATATGGGTGATACCAGTTAAATTCTGCTTAACCTTTTCTTACTAAGCCAAGTAGGAGTGTCTCACATAAATTTAGCTGATTTTTATCTTCTGTCCTGTGGTTAGGACAAACAGAATAATACCCCCAGGTTTTGAAGACTGTAATATAAATGCTCTATAACATAGATGACCACGTTCCAATAGAAATATAAAAAGTACACACAGAAAATACAGTACATACATTTAAGACTATTAATCATTTGCCATACTTTGTCCTTAGTGTATTTACAGTGGTTTATATAATGAATGAAAGTTATCTAGACAAAATACTGTGAATAGACAATTTCCTTGTATTCCAAACCATGCTCTATATAGTTCTGCATTCTGTAGATGTCTTGCTAATTCTGTTTTGATTTAATGAGTGTGACCAGGTGAGATTGTGTATAAAATCTGGAAAACGGTCTGTGAAGAAAAATAGTACTGTTTATATCTACACCTAAGGTCCACAGCTAAACATTGCTTTAGTTGAATTAAAGAATGCTCTCAACTTAATTAAGAGTTGATCCTGGTTAGTTTCAGGAATTATCTTAATTAAAATTACGTTAATTTTAATTTTCGTGCTCTGCACAGGGTTTTTACAATGTACAGTGAATCCAAATTTTGGTGCATACTCAGAATACTTAGAATGGTTTGTGGTCTTTTAGAAAGCTTGTGCTAGGTTCCGAGTGAATCTAGGATCTTCTGCAATTTCCACCTGGGGGGCAAAAAGTGTTTTGGCATTTTACATGATACTGAGTCATGGCAGGCAAAGCAAAACAGTTTTGTTGAGATTTGTTTTGGATTTAGTCCTCATTTAAACTTGGAAAATCAAGCTTCATGACTGAGGAACGTGCATTCTCACAAACTGAGTTCAAAGAAAGTTCCTATGAATCTCCTAGAACCCCAAACAAATGTTTTTTACATGACTACTTTTTATTTTGCTATCAGAAATTGGGTTGCTTTGTTGCAAGTTTTGCTAAAATATGGTACAATTTGTTGTGTCCTGTAATTCAGGCTATTACTTCAGTCTGTATCTTGGTGTGGATTTAACATGGTGGTTAACAGTGTTCTGTGTTCAAGATGTAAGACTTTACGTAAGTGTTGTAAAGATGTATATCCTGCAGAGCAGTCAGGATGAAAAATGTAAACTAACAATAACTGGAGGTGGAAATAGAAGCAAAACCTTTACAAAATACTGAATTACATGCCATATTGAAGTTGTTATGGTACCACAGAAATCTGAATGTAATTTAAGAAGCTTAGGCAGGGAATGGGGAAATCTTTTGACATACCAATGATATTTACAGACAGAAGCTCCTAGCTGGTGTTCAGGTTTCCTTGTAAGCAGTGAAGTAGAACACTAGTGAAAGAAAATACTCTGAAGAATTTTTATTTACTCTTCAAACAATTCTGGACAATGGTTTGTTGTATTTTTATTTGGAGGGAATGTGTCAGAAGGCAGTTTGGATGCAGTCTACATTTCCAGAACATTTTGTGCCTTGTGAGCATTAAACTATGGAAGTGTTTTCTTAAAAAAAGGGAGGTGTTTGGAATACACTGTTAACATAAAAAGAAATGCCTCTTTTACCATAACATCAACATTATTCTCGTACATGCCATTTCATTTAGAGCAGATTGTGTCTTGTTTTCTAGACCTGGCAATCACTTCAGTTAGATATTTAGCAAATTTAAATATTCATTAATATTTAATGTTCTCATTGTGTCACCATTTTTTCTCAGACTGCTAAGTGGTTTCTGTTGCTGCAGACTTTTGTCTAAGAAGATATAAAATTTGTGTTTTCATGTCTACAAAGATATCGTGGAAGAAATACTGCAAACCTGCATATTTTCTGCGGATAACAGATATTTGGCATCATATTTTGTTTCTGGCAGTAAACTTCTAACTAACACCTAAATAGCACTGCTGTGATAAAACTGACTAAAAGTCAGTTCAGTGTTGGAAATACAAGGAAATTCCTCTTTTTCAGTGATTCTTTCATGAATGCTGCACAGTTGTAGAAGTATAGCATCAGAAATTGAATAAGATCTCTCAGGTCTCAGTGGGATAAACGAACTAATTCTTCTGCTAATGAAGCCACTAAGAAATTGATGCTAAAACTGAAGAAAAGTAGTTGCAGGGAAGTTAGGCATTCTTTTGTCCAATGTACTTTGTTACTGTGGGATTAAAATAAAATCCATATTCAGAATATAGAAGTATATATTAATACTGTTTCAGAGCATAGTGTTACAGCTGCATGGAAGCTGTACTTTCAAATGTATATTGGTTTTGAGTCCTATGTTTTTCTATCTGTTGAAATACACAGTAGAAAAACACTTTAGGATGCTTTTGGAGACAAAAGAATCCATGATTTATTAATAATGTTAAAAATGTACCAAAGGTTTTGTTACATGAATCATTTTTTTCAGAAGAGTTGGTCACTGTTCTTCTAAACTAACATATTTTTGATTAGATTCTGACGGGGACTGACAGCAATTTGAGGTACTATAAAGGCTGAAACAAACACCCCCCCACCCTTACAATTCTAATGGGTGTTTTTCAGTGATTATCCTTTACCAAGCTGAGTTTTCTAGATAGAAAAAGATATTTGGAAAATGCTGAGTTTATGACAAAGCATACGTTTACGATAGGAAATCCGTTTGGGACAGGCGGGAATTTGTCCAGGCTAATTTAGAGGGTTCAAAGGGTTCATGCTACATGGGGTAGTCTTGATATAATGGTTGGATGGCGTCTGGATTGACTGATGGCTCATATGCTTGATGGTTAAGGTATTAATGCTTTCTTTGTTTAAGACATTACAAAGGGAGAATATGTCTGTCAATGCAAACATTCTGACTTTAAGACTGATGGAGGGCCCTTGGCAGTACAGCCATCAACAGCAACTTTACTGAAGAGTAAATATTTTCATAGTTCTCCTGATGTTACTAAATAATGATGTACAAATGCTTCGTTGCTCAGAATCATTCCTTGCTTGTCACAGTTACATTTGTGTTACTATAGTTAATAGTAATAGCTATCAACCGGTGTTGAGGAAGTACATTTCCATCTTTATTTACATTTGGAGTCATACCAACCAAGTAAATGTCTGTATTAGAACTTAAGATTTTACTGAAGTTGTAATTTGAAAGAAAAATATGCCTGAGGGTGAAATGCATATTTTAATCGGCTCTATGATTTACAGTAATTAACTTACATTAGGGACTATAAATTTACCACTTCACAGTGTTGATTAGATAAAGTTGAAAAATATACTTTAAGGCAATGATGAAAAAGAAATGGTGTTAGAAAAAACTCCTGAATTGCCTCTTAAAGTCACAGGGGTTACTATCAAATGTGTCTCTGCTTTTTGTAAGATGATGTGAATGTATTTCACAAGAAAAAGAAAGTCTTTCATTTGGGAAAGACTAGATAGCCTTCTAAGTTTAAAGCATGATAACAAATGGGTTTTTCTCTAGAGCTCTTGGGTAATGTAAAAAATACCATTTTGTGGAAAAAATCTTTTACTGAGAATAAACTCTCCAAATCAAAGGTAAGGTTATTTCTGTAATTACAGCAGGATTAATTCTGTCATGACTGACATGAGAAAAAATTTTCTCTGAATTTTCCATTGCTGTCCAGTACTTTTGAAGCTTTGAGCTAATCATTGCATCTTTGGCAAGAGTAATTTTTATGAACTCTAATTTTTAGAATTTATTGGAAGTTGTCACTTTAATTCTTGTAATTAATCCAACCTAGTCCTTGATTGCAGTACAAATCATCTGGAATTAGTTTTTTGTGCCTTCTATTTTCTATATTCCACTTGTCATTGTAACCACTTCTTAAATGCAAAGCCCCAACTGTGTACCGGAATGAAATATTTAAAAATAGGCTGAAATATTTAATATTTTCTTGTTTGCCATAGGCTAGTACAAATTATCTTTTAGTTAAAATTTCTTAAACATTACAAAAAACTCCACCCCAAACCCAATAAACCAACAAAATCCCACAAAACCACCACAAGGCTGTGGCCCATGATGGTGGATAACTTGGAACTAGTTTTCCATATGGTTGTATTCTTTATTATTGTGAACAGACAAGTTTAGAGCAGATACTTTAGGTTTATTCCCCTCCTTCTTTTTAGAAACAAGGTGGATAATGCATCTGCAAGTGGTTTTAGAGAGAAAAAACACATGAAATTTGTTGCCTTTTTTCCAGCTTTGAAAATTATGTTAAATGACCTTGAATAACTTTTTTTAATGATCAAAACTAATAGATAAGTCTTTCTCCTATTTGAATCAATGCCATGCAACAGGAAGATGCTTCTGGTACAATGAAGCATCTAAATTGAAAATAAATACGGGAAAAAAAGCTAGTAAGTTTTAAACCCTTAATCACCAGAATAAAGGGAAGGCACTTACAGCTTTTCCAAATGAACCCCATAATTTTTCAGTAAAAAAGATCAGCCTCAGCCTGAAGTTTAGTTTGGCTCAGGGTAACATAAGATTGTCAAGTGAGGGCCAGAAGGTGAAGAAATGAGTTTACCACTCTTCCCTGGGCAGGGAAAGTCCTGTATTGGGGAGAAAGGTTAAAAATGGAGTAGTGATGCCTGGGTTCTGTCAATGTCCTTTGCTCATGCGTGTGTATATGACCCAGCTGGACAATAAGAGAATTAAGAGAGCATGGTTCAAGTACCTCAAATATTCTTTTATAGTATGTTTTGATATGGAAATCAATGCTCTGCCTGCTAGCAACATACCGGACTATACCAGAGATAACTAGAATCACAGAAACTTT